AGGGACACCAGCTGCTGTTTGAGAACAGAGCGCAGCGGGCAAAGCTCAAAAGCCTGGAGGCCAGTTAGAAGGCTGGGACAGAAGCAGGCGAGTCAGCTCCGACTACAGCAGCAGCACTGGAGGTGGTGACGGGGAGGATGGGTGCCCAGCTTCCTTCGGAGGATCTGCTAACCAACTCATGTGAGGCTGGGAAGACAGGAGAGAATGACTGAGGGTCTGGCCAGAACAAACCAAAAGACTACAGCTGCCAGCTTACTGGGAGAAGGGATACTGGGGGGGAGATGGGATTCTGTTTGGTTATGTCGAGTTTGAGATCTTTCAGACAACCAAGTAAGGATCTCGAACAGAGATCGGATAACTCGAAGAGAGGCTGGAGCCAAGAGGAGGGGCCAGGTAGGAGTCACAGGCACATAAATGATACTCAAAGCTGTGACTGTGGCTGAGGTCTCCCAGGCAGGGGTTCACGCTACGTCCCATGTAGGGGAGATTTAATCATTTATTCATTCGCAAACATGCAAGAAGTAACTGTTCTCTGCCAGGCATTATTCTAGCTACCAGGAATATCACAGTGCATTAAGAAGACCCTGACCTAAAGGTACCTACATTCTAGAAAGGGGAGAAAGACAACAATATGAAATGTTGCCAGCTCTGGGAGTCAAGAATGAGCAGGCCAGGAACCAGCAGTTAGCGTAATGGCTATGTCACTGGACTCCCACGTAGTCGACCGCGGTTCGCGTCCTGGACCCGGTGGCTTAAAACCCACGCCGGGCGCGTGTGTGTGCGTGCCCAAGATCCCGAGAGGAGAATGGAGGAGAAGGGATTGCAGAGTGGCCATCCCCTCTGGGGGGGTGATTTCTCACTTTCTGTCTCTCTGTTTCTCTCTGTCTGGCGAGCGCATGCGCCCTATGGTGAAAAACCTTTCAAAAAAAAAAAAAAAGAATGAGCAGGCCAGAGAAAATGAGAAGGTACCGTTAGTGAGGTTGGACAACCAGGCAAGCAGCTGCCTGAAAAGCCAAGGGAAGACAGGTGTCTCCACGAAGGAGGGAGTGATGGGTCCACTGCTGTTGTGTGAATCTGCCTGAGGGCACGTGTGCTCATGTGAAGTGGTGAGAAAGCACTCCTCCGGTGGGGGAAGGCTATGGGCCACCATCCCTTCTCCCGGGACTTTGGGCATGTGCACACATATGCCCAATGTGGATGATGGGTCCCTGTTGTTACCCAATCAAAGATGAGAATGGGGGCCAGCTTGGGGTGCGGTGGTTAAGGCAGCTGGATCCCATATAGCTGACTGTGTGGTTTGAGTTCCAGACTCGGTGGGCGCATGCACACAAAAAATCAGAGAGAGAGAAGTAGAGAAGGGATCACGGTGTGACTGTTCCCTGTGTGTGGGGATTGCCTTTTCCTTCACTCTCTGCTCAATCTCCAGTAAGCACACATGTCCTCTGGCAAAATTTAAGAACATATGACAGGAAGACTGAAAACTTTAGATTTAGTTTAATGGAGGTTAATGGCAACTTTGTGGGGGGAAAAAATAGTGTTGTATATTAAAGATGAAAGTTTGAAAAAAAAAAAAAATGAAAGTTTGACTGGAAGTAGATTCTAGAGAAACCAGGCAGCTAGTATAGACCACCCTTCTGGCTTTGCTGAAAAAGTGTGGGACAACTGGGACAGTGGCTAAAGAGGAATGAAGGATCAAGAGGGAGAAGTAACAGCTTTGTGTGGGCTGATGGGGAAGATCCAGAGGAAACGTGTGGACAGAGGGAGCTCATGCTCACGAGTGCACATTCTCTCTCCGGCCTTCCTCCTTGGCCTAGTCTGAAAACACTCTAAACTGACCTAAGTCTCCCAGGCCAGATCTTGTCAGATTAAATACCAGCAAGACAAAGAGGCTCTATTTCTAAGAGGGTCCTAGAGGCTGACCTTCGTACCTGGCTTGGATACCCTCCTCACTACTCTTATCCTGCAAAGTCCTTGGAAAGTTCGAGAAGTCTTCTCACACCATCTCACATTCACTTCTGTCAGTTCAGTTAATCTAGTAAAAACTTTTTCCAATTCCTAAATCCATGACTTTTAAACTTTTTTCTCCCTTTATGATGGAAAGAGAAAAAGGGAGATGGGTAGGTATTTCTGACAAGGTTCCTGTGTGTCACACTCCTGCCCCGGCCTCCTAATTAGCTAGGACTACAATCACACAACCATGTCATATGTGTTCAGGTCGACTCTGAAACTGAACTTGGCCCTCCCACGTGAGAGACCGGAAGACAGAAGTGAGAAATCACCCCCAGAGAGAAAAGCCATGCCACAATCCCTTCTCTTGGAATTTTGGGCATGCACGTACACACGCCTGGAATAGGTTAAGCTACCAGGTCTGGAACTTGAACCACAGTCAACTACGTTTCTGTCTAGCGACATAACCACTACGCTATCTGCTGGGATCCCTAAATGCTTTTTTAAAGTGGTACCTTTATTCAAATAAAATCTTCAGAGAACTTCAATACATACTAGCAATACAGAAATTAGGGATCCTCCTGTTGAAGCCCTATTGATTATTTTTTAAATTTTATTTTATTTATTAATTCATTTATTTTTTAATTTGACCAGAGAGAGACAGACATTGAGAGTGAGAGGAAGCGAGAAAGCAAACCACCAGATTCAGGACTCAAACCCTGGTCGGCCATGTGGGAGTGTCCAGTCTCTTAACCACCACACCACCTGCTGGTCCCAAGTCCTATAGATTTTTGAGAAATCTGTCCCAGTTTTAGGTTCTTAGAACAGTCTGAAACCACTGAGCCCTTGGTCTGAAGAGAACCAGCATGGGTGCCTCACCAGTCTTTTTTTTTTAAAGAATTATTTACTTTTTCCCACATGAGTTTTGACAGAGAGAGAGAGAAAGTCGCCAAGTCTAGGACTTGAACTGCAGTTGGCCATATGGGAATTCCAGCGCCTTAACCACATCACCTGCTGGTTCACCCCAATAGTCTTTAAATATTACCCAGAATACCTTGCCATCTCTTCCATCCTCCTCACGTTATTCAATCAGCTTGTCAATACCCATTCCTCTCACACTTGGCCCACTCACCCCAAATAAACCTAAAATCTAAGGCCAGATGTTGGCGCAGCAGTAAACCGTGATGTTGCTGGGGCTAACCTGCAAGGAAGGTGCCAGGGTCATGTCTGGAGACCTAATTGGGTACACCAGGCAAGCGCAAGACTGTGATCCAGAGCTGGCTGAGGCTGGGGTCTGCTCACAGTATCAAGGCCCTGCTGGGGAGCTGTCGCTCTATAAATAAGTAAACTTAACAAAACCCCCTAAAATCTCAGAGATTTTCTTCTCATCTACATATCACTACAGAGATGGGGTACAGAGTATCCCCAGGACTTGAAATGTAGGCTCCCTTTCGAGAATAAACCCAGAAGACCTATTAAACAGTGGAATAGGTCAGCCATTTAGAGCAGGGATCCACCAAGGAGAATGAGGAGTCTCAAAACTGTTCAAGTCCACACAGAACTCAGTCTAGGGGAGGCAGCACTCGACTGTGACTCAAGCTGAAACTTGAGACAGTTAACACCGCGACCAACATGAAGGGGACAGGCCTGCCTAGAATTTAGAAAAAGGGGAGCCCCACTTTGCTGAACAAATAAATAAAAGCAAACACGCACACAACGACACATGTGTGCATGAACACACATACATGCGCAACACAGAACTTTGTAAACAGTCTGAAAGATACAAACCAAACTATTAAGAGTGGCTTCCGCAGGGCTGGCAGGTGGTGAAGGTGCTGGACTCCCACAGGGCCAACTGTGGTTTGAGTTCTGGATCTGGCAGCTTATTCTCTCACTTTCCCTGTCTCTCTCTCTCTGATCAAATTAAAAAATAATAACAATAATTATAATAAAATGAAATAATTATTAAAAAAAAAAATGAAAGAAAGAATGGCTACAGTGGGGCCAGCAGGTAGCGTGGTGATTGGGGGCCTGGACTCCCCACATGGTCAACCATGGTTCAAGTCTCGGACCTGGCAGCTTGCTTCTTACTCTCTCTGATGAGTGCACGTGCCCTATAGCAAATGAGAAACAACAATAATAAATAAAATTAAATAAATAATATATATATATTTTTAAAAAGTAGCTACCGCCAGTGAGTGAAGGGCATTAGAGGACTAAGTAACATGTTTATTTTTTTCTTTATGGAAAAATTTCACTTTTTTTTTTTTTTTAATTTTTTAAGGTTTTCACCACAGGGCACAAGTGCTCATCAGAGATAGAGAGAGAGAGGGAAAGTGAGAGATCACCTCCTGAGGAGCAGATGGCCACACCACAATCCCTTCTCCTCCATTCTCCTCTTAGGATCTCAGGCAAGCTCGCACGTACACTGTGTGTTCCTCAAGCTGCCAGGTCTGGGAAGTGAACCTTGAAGTCAGCCATGTGGAATCAGGTGCCTTAACCACCATGCCAAGCTGCTGGCCCCAATTCACCTTCTTTTTGAGAGCCTTACTTGGGAACTTCCAGCCACTGTTAGCCATCTTTCTTTGGGCTCTAACTCCAAACGCACATTTCAGGCAACTGGGACATGGAGGCAGGTGCTCCTGACCTATCCAGTCCTTCAAAGAGCATTTCCTGGGTCCCCAAGATGGTACAAACTATGGTTGGCAGGGAGAGCAGAGAGGAACTGGCCTGACCTCTGCCCTGATGCAATGCATTCCAGTCTCATCCTAATTGTGCCACTGTGTGGCTAGGTGACCATGTTTGGCAGAACGATGGCCTCTCCCACAGAAGTCTATGTCCTCATCCTCAGAACCTGGGAATGTTCCAGTACATGTCAAGGGAGATAAAAGCTACAGGTGGAATTAAGGTTGCTAATCAGATGACTGAAAAGACAGAGACTATCTTAAACTATCAGAGTGAGCCCAGTATAATCATGAGGGTCCTTAAACGAAGAGGACAACAGATGAGTCAGAACCAAAGATGTCACCCTGAGAGACCGTTCTGGCCATCGCTGGTTTTGAAGATGGGAAGAGGCCACAGACTGAGAAGTGTGGGCACCTGCTAAAAGCTGAGTGAAACAAGAAAATAAGATTTTCTCACAGAGCTTCCAAAAAGAAATAGCCGAACAACATACTGATTTTAGCTCAGAGACCCACCTTGGACTTCTAACTTCCAAAACTAATGTGTTGTTCAAAGCAACAAGGTTTGAGATGTTGTTGCAGCTAATAGAAAATGGATACAAGAACCATGGGGAAGGAGGAACCATCTGAGACTCAGTTTCTCTTATTAAAAAAAAGATGGACATCTGCCCTTGTATTTTTTACCCTTAATTTAGCTTTTGCTATAGGGCATGTGAGCTCACTGGAGAGAGATAGAGAGACAAAGAGAGGGAGGGGTGAATGAGAAATCACCCCACGGGGTATGGCCACACTACCATCCCTTCTCCTCTATCTTCCTCTTGGGATTTTGGGGACACATGCACATGTGCCCAGTGTGTTTTTAAACTGCTGGTCTGAGACTAAAATTGTGCTACTGGCCACGTGATATCTAGCCACCTGAACTTCCATGCCACCTGCTGGCCCCTGACATCTCTTTTAAACATTTTGCTAAAGGGACAGATGAACTGTACAGAAATTCCTTAAAATCGGTCAGGCAGGGCTTGGCAGTAGCGTGCAGCAGTAATGCAAGCGAACCCCATGCAAGGTGCCTATGCGTGTGCTTATGATCAGGCTGGCAAGACTGCGGGGGGGACCACAGTGCAAAGACTCTGTTGGGGTGCCTGTTTCATTCTCTCTCTCATGGGAGAAATAAACTTTAAAAAAGCAGCAGGACACGATATAAATACAAGCACTTCCTG